ATTTTTTGCGAATATTGTTACAATTCTAGAAGCTGAAGAGTACAATTGATATTTCATTGACTTGGAAAATTTATTAAATGGCAGCAGAATGAATGACTTGGTGTAATAGGTGGATGAGTGATATGATTTTTTGCAAATTGTTACAATTCTTGAAGCTGAAGTGTACAATTGATATTTTATTGAAGTTTATATTCACATTTTTTGTGAATCTTGATAAATTTTATTAAATGGCAGGCAGGATGGTTGACCTGGAATAATAGGTGGATGAGCGATATGATTTTTTGCAGAAATTGTTACAGTTCTTGAAGCTGAAGTGTACAATTGATATTTTATTAAGTTTATATTCACATTTTTTGTGTATCTTGGTAAATTTTATAAAATGGCTGCAGAATGAATGACCTGGTGTAATCGGTGGAGAGCGATATGATTTTTTGCGAAAATTGTTTCAATTCTTGTAGCTGAAGGATACAATTGATATTTATTGAAATGATTGAAAATCTCAACTAATAAAAAGGAAAATGGATATTGTTGTAGCAAACAATTGTACATTGAACAAAGTTTACTGTGAACCTGGAAATTAATAAAAAAAAATGTAAAGTTCGTTCAAAGTCTGGTCGAAAATTAAAAAATTCAGCATTTTTTGTTTTTTACAAATATTACCTAATTATAGTACCAATAATAATTTCAACATTTTTTTATTAGTACTAATTAAATAACCTAGAAGTGTTATGTTTTATCAAAAGCTCAAAAAATTTATGAGAAGGCCAAAGGGTTTACTCCAGTATAACTCCAAAAAAAAAAACTTGAGATACTAATGGAAACATGGAAATAGGTTTATTTATGTATATATATATATATATATAATATATATATATATATATATAAATTGATTGTATATATGTATCCATGGATTTATAAATTATTGCAGGTAAATGATTTTTGCTTCTCAATTTTATATAAAACCTTTTTCTGGTTACTTTTCTTTACTCTTTGCACTGGTGCATAATCCATTCCTTTATAATTTTTTAAATAATCTGTAATAACCATCATTAATAATGTTAGTCAATAGTTTTAAAAAACATTGTCTTTAACAGATAACATGATGCTGAAACGTATCTAGTTCCGAAACGTCGTTATTAAACATCTTCAAAAAAAACAAATTGTTTTTTATTTTTGGATAAGAAACATCAATATATGAAAAAATCCAGTATATCTAAATTCACAGATAATAGAAGATCATAAGAGAATACTCAGTTAACAGTCGTCGAATATAACTCTAAACTCATCAATATTCAGTAAACTACAACAGCAATTATAATATATTTGGAATCAAAAATGCTTACAGATGTACTTTTTATGCTGAAACTTGATTGTTATTGGTTAGAAATTCGTGGATTTTATTTAATTTATTTGATTAACGTTTTATAAGCAGTAAATTTTTGAATATTGTGTTGCCATTATCCGGCAAAAAAAATTGTTGAAAAAAAAAATAGGCCTTATGTTTGAGAGTTTACTACTGCGAATTATTGGCTAAATATATAAAATATGTAATTTAAATATTGGTTCATAATTATATCCCTAAATTATACATAGGCTGTCGGTCTATTAGCAAACGCGAAGTGACTCTTTCCTTAAGAGCCAGTTGAAAGAACATCCTAGTTTACGTACACGTCGGGTTTTTGTACACCTGAGAGTTCTTATCGTATGCACTCAACTCTTGTTGTAATGACCGGTTGTCAAACAAATCTCAGAGCGTGAAATTCATTAAAAAAATAATTGGAATAGCACATTAAAGATATCCGACTTGTCTAGATGTTAATGATCTTTGGATGGCTTCGGTATGGATGGAGATCTAGCACGGATATTCCAGTAGTATGATAAAAATATTTTTATAGATAGAACTCAAAAGAGGAAAAAATATGGTAATATTATATATATATATATATATATATATATACATGTAGTGGGGCGGGGCACAAAGGTCCATTTGACTTTGAGCAATTACATCGTAAAAATAAGAAAAACAGTATATCACAACAAAAGCACATATCAATCAAACTACTGTCAGACTATGTTCAGTAAAGCTCCCAACAATTTCATCATTGTAGAAATGTGTTTTTTGCTATTTTTGAAAATTTGTCACCTTGCGGGGTACAATCGGACAGCCAAGAGGTAAAGGGGTTCAATGTTTTATTTTAAATTTTAAAAGGATTTCTCGAAATAATATCTGAATTATTCCTCCCTTGCAAAATATAAGTTTAATGGGTACATTTTTCATAGAGATTACATAAAAATTGTATATAACCTTGATCTGGTTAAAAAATTCATCAGCAGAGTTGGAAAAACTATTTATATAACTAATATCTTGTGAGATTTATTTTTTTAACTTAATTTACTTTTTCATTAACTATTAATTATTGTTTACACCTTAATCTGGGTAGAGATTCAGTTGGTGCATTTTACCCCACCCATATGCAATCCAATTTTGAATCTAACTTTAAAATAACAATGCATATTGCAAAACATTTAAATAATGGAGATTTAAAAATTATATTAAGATCACGTAGACTACAGACTACAGAGCTTACAACCAAAAAACTAACGACAAAAGAAAAATATTATAGATTTTCAAGTAATATTGATAAATAATATTTATTTTTCTTAAACTGAATAAAAAATATTTAATGTTGTTAAGGAATGTAGCAAATTGCAAGCAAATTTTTTGATTTATAATAAAGAAATTATTCTTTATTTATTATAAACTGTTATGAATTTCTATACATACTCTACATCATAATGTAGACTAAATGATCCAATAATATTATGAAACTAACATATTTAATCAATTTAAAACAAAGATTTCAAGTGTGTTATTGCATAATTTAAATTTAATTGAAAAATGTGAAGCGACAACATATATAAAATCAAAATGTATAAAATTGAAAATAAATCTATTTATTTAGAAAATAAATATAAGATAAAAATATAAATCTCAAACGTTCAATTAAATGCCTACAGAAAAGGTTAAAAAATTAGCGCCATTAAAAAATACTGCGGTGATTCAAGTAAATTTACAGAAAAATATATATATAAATAAAGCATCTTATTAAAAATTCTTCATTAAAAATAAGAATATTTTTTTAAAATATTTTTTCTGTACTAGTAATAATACTATTATCATTATTAATATGATTATTATGTTAAATTAATACTTAATTAAAAAATATTATTTTTATATAAAAATCAGAGCATCATTTTGAGAAAATTTCTTCAAAAGCAAAAAAACGAATTGAATTGAAATTGAAGCAAATAGTTATAAAATTAAAGCAATCTGAATATTTTTTTGTCTATAATAGTATCGATATCGCATTACATAAGATTGTTTATAGACTATCAATCTTGACTAAATTTTTATTTGTTTTTTAAAGTTTATTTTTACCACGTCAATTACTATATAATAACCCCATAAATCATTTTCCAAATTATTCAATTCATACAATATCATACTACGGGAGCTTTTATTTCAAAAAGTTTGAAAGCTGTAAAGTTATAGAATGTGCATTCACCTCGTAGCTTTTATTAACTTCGCTCGTAAATCTAAGATATTACTTCAAGATATAATAAAAACTATTAGAATGTGTCACCAGACAGAAAAATGTCTATGTAACAAGCATTCCTGGTTTGCATTTAATGACAAAGTCTGTAAAAATGTGGGTTCATGGTTAGTCGGCTTGGTTTATAATTTAAGAGAATGGAACTTTATGATTTACTGATTCAAAACGAATCAGATCTATGCATGATATACTTTCAAATTCTGTCTAGTAACATATTGTATTATAATGAGTTCATGTAACGTGTGGTCTTTTGTACACATAAAATATACACAGTTTTATATGTATATATTCAAGCTCGGATTAACATTAATTTATTAATCCTTATAAATTTTATTAAATGATGAGAAACCACCCTGGTATGAGTGATAATGATGTGTTTCAAACTTGATAAAAATTCATTTGTTTAATAATAAATTTTGCTAAAATCAGAAATTTACAGGTACTATCAAAGAACGCTTTCATGCACTTTCGAATAATTAAGATTTAATCAAGATTTTGTTTTTGTATTTGTTAATAACTTCTTTCAAAAATCCATTGCAATTATAATTTTATTATTTTATAAAAAAACAGTTTTTGTCAAAAACATATAAATAATATGCTAACTACCCTTAACCATTGCCTAATGTATTTGAAATATTACTTTAAAAATCGGTATACCGAAATTTTTTTAGAAATGAGTTTGAAGAATTAGGTAATATAAATATAATCATAAAATGAAACAAATTAAATCAATTGCATCATAAGAACGTCGTTACATTGTTTATTTGAAAATTAATCTAGGAAGTCAGTGTTAGCATTTAATATATTTTCACTTCATATTTGGATTAAAATCATATTTGGATTAAATTCATAATTGTTTGATTTAAGTTAAAAAAATATAATAATTGGTAAATTGAATTGAATAAAAATATGATAAAATCCAGAGAAATTGTCATTGTACGAGATTTTATTGAATCCTATATACATGAATATAAAAAAATATCCATTGACCAACTGAGAATTTAAATAATTTCATAAGACTACAACTTTGAATTAAATTCTACTTAATTTAATTTTTTTACAATCTCCAATCCCATAAATGCCCACAATATTTAAAAAATAAGTAAGTCTCAATTGGTCTATTACGATTAGTAAATATCGCTAAGTATTTATATAAAGTGCTTATAAACTTAATTGCAAATTAGCCGATCCATTTAAATTTCAACAAGTGGTACCAAAAATAGATTTTGGATTATGTATGAACTGCTATAGCTCTATCTATCGCAGGATGTACAAGAATATCCATAACCTTGCGCCGAAATAATAACATATATATAATTATAGAAACGCGGTAATATACATTTTGTAGTCAAAACAAACATAGTTTATAAGGAAAAGTTTACTTACAGATTTCGATCGTACTGAACTTTGCCATCCCCATTGACTGTCAAATTAAAAACTTCTCGAAGTGGTTGTGGCGACATAGTAATTGATGCATCTTGTTGTGTCCCTTCAGTTTCAGCACGTCCATTTGTAGTAAAATCCAGTCTTCCATTCGATCCAGATTTACCATTGTTCTGCATTTTAGTGGACAGAGCAAGTAAATCTTCTCTTGTGAGATTAAACTTTTCCAAAATGCTTGGATTTAAATTGCCATTATTGGCTTGACCATCGGCTTCCCCAGAATCCAAGTCGTTTCTACTTGGCATATCACTTTGCATGGTCATGGGATCGTAGTCGTCATATTCTACCACTTTCGATTTAAGTAGTTTACTCTTACTATTTTGACTAGACTTTTTGTTATTGTACTTTTTCAGCATGGCTCTTGGATTCAATTTCCAATTGTACTAGATGTTTTAACACTTCCAGCAAATCTTCATGATGAACCTCGTTTTCTGACAGATCTACATATTCACTGTCATCATAATCTGTTAGAATTTCGTGAGATCTTGCAGATCCTTTTGTACTTCATAATTCTTCTTTTGTGCCTTAAGGAGGATAGTTTTTGTTCAATATCCTTTTGTGATAGTTTGCGGACTTGTGTGCGTAACTTACATGGTTAAGTATACATAAATATGTACAATTGTAAAAATAAATGTGTATATTTAAATATATTTATATATGCATATGTATATGTGTTTGTATTATTTATATTCTTAGTCAATGAGTATTTTTCTGAATGAATTTCGGTATTTCGCAATTTGGTATCAAACACGATCTTTAATCAATTGGGAGCTGATAAATGATTCATGAGATTCTCTATGTTTTGTTAATTTGCTAATTTGATATTGCATAGTAGAACTAATGTAAAATCGATATAGTTTTTTTTGACAAATATATCTTATTTATATTTCTACGTCTTGCCTATATTTAAAAAATGTATCTGCAAATGGGTCTAGCAAAGAACAAAGGACATAGGATATTAGTTATCTCTTTGGTCATTACCTGTTTATTATATAATTGATGGTAAACATCAAATATACTACGGATATAGTTATTGAAATAAATTTGTAATATGCTTAGTCAAAAATAAATCATTAAGTATTTACATAATCATTATCAATCGTATTGATATAATCATAATTTTGAACCGCCATCTGGAAAATAATTATTACAAATTGCTGGATCTTCTCGTAACGTAATTTAATATTTTTAAAAACTCAAAAAAAATATTAGATTTTTTGGGGAATTTTGAAAGTTCTGAATTTAAAAAAAATCATCTACTGGTGCATGGCATCGTGCTTTAAGACAAATTGCTGGAACTTCCCTTACCGTAATTTAAAATTTTTAAAAGCTCAAAAAATATTACATTTTTGAGAATTTTGATACTTTGAAATTAAAAAAAATATCAACTAGTGGTGCATGGCATCATGCATTAAGGCGATTTTCTAGATTTTCCCGTACCGTAATTTAAAACTTTTGAAAGCTCAGAAATGAAATACTAGTTTTTTTGAGAATTATGAAATTTAAAAAAAAATGCTTTTTTGAAAATACTGATATTTTTTAACAGTTATTTACTTTAAGATAAGAAATTGTTTGAAAACTTGAATTTTTTTTATTTTTTTTTTTTTGTAAATTTTGCTATTTCTTGAAAGCTATGCTAGAAATTTATATCGATTGATTCCAATTACAAAATATCTAATTTTCGATCGCCAAATGGCATTTTTTTTAAACATATCTGCTGAACCTGCCTTTGCAAAAACTCAATCAATTTTTTTTTACGTCAATACAAATGGAAAGTTTTATAAATCATTCAAATCGGATGCTCCATTCTCTCAAAAACCTAATTTCTATTTTTTGTACTCTTTGCTTCGTATCTGCAAAATGGCTGGACCAACTTTTGCCAAAAACTAATCAGCACGTCTCCTTATCAACAGGAATCGAATGCTTTTTGAATCATTCAAATCGGTTGAGAGGTGCCCCAAAAACCTCAGCAAAAATTGTATCTATACATACACACATCTATTTTTTCTAAGGTACGGGAAAATGTTCAGAAACCTCTGAAACGTAAACATATGCCAAAGATTTCGTTTTTGATTTTTGAACGATTACTATAACTTACCCTACGAAAAGTTGTATTATAGAATTTAACGTATGAATTTATATCAATTAAGTGTTTTGACTACCAATTTTATTATTAATTAATTAATATACTTGTAGGTATTCACATGTAGATTACATATTTATAAACGATATTTTAAATAATTTATGATTAACAAAGCAACATTGAAAAATTTACTAATATATACGTCCACACATATATGTTAATCGATTTTTTTACTACCTATTAGAGTCGATGATTAAAACAATTTATTTAAATCGTTTTATGCTGCAAATTTGATATTTATAAAAATAACATTTATACAAATTTAAAAGTGTAAGAAAAATGCTTGCAGTCGATTTTCGAGTAAAATAATCTTGTTTAAATGATTATGTAAAATATCTGTTAATAAGAAGAGCAAGTTTTTCTTTGATTTAATTTAATTTGATTTAATAACAAAAAAATATTTTAAATTATTAAAATATAATTCTGTCTTCAAGCACGAGCAAAGCCCAATAAAAATATCGATTAATTTTCGATGTAATTTCGATTTCGATTTAAAAAAAAAAATCATTCACCACTACACATCTATTTTTAACTGTAGTATTGCAAGAAAAAAACACGCAAAATCTTGATCACAATTAATTCATCAGAACGTCTTTTAAAAAGGTCTCATCAGCATAAGGTGGGGCAATCCACGGAATCAACAACTCATCAATGGGTTCTCTCGAATAAGTTTAAAATAATCGATACCGATTAATATATTAGCAATGTTTTACATATTTTTCGTTGTTTTTTTATTTTTGAATGACGAAATAAAGCGGAAGTGATTTATAATTGAGCGACATGGATCTGAGTCAAAACATAATTATACAAAGTTGGCCGGATTAAATTTCAATAGCTGTTGGTATCGTCTAGATTAAAATCTTTTTAAGTGAATTAAATACATTGGGAATTATTGCCAAAAGTTTTGCAATTTGAAGATAAAGATATCGTTGAAATATCGCGATTAACAGTGAATTAAAATTGAAACTAGGTGTTAACAGCATTTTGGCTGAAGACAACTTGCAAAAATTTCCCAATACACGCTAATAATCGAGAATTTGGAACTTGGTAACTTTTAAAAATGTGACGATAAATTTTTTATTTATTTTTATGATTTAATCACTTTCCATGAATTAATTAATAGATAATAAGTAAATTTTCATTTATTTCTATGATTTAATCACTTTCCATTGTCTGATAATAGTTAAGACAAATACAAAGTTTCATCAAAGCTGCGTCCTGCCAAAATTTACCAAAAATCCATCATCACGATTGATAATTGATATACTTCAAATGGTTTTGAAATTTTCAAAATCGGGTCAGGATTTTTGGTGAAAAAACATGTTTTTGCAAATACATATCTATTCTTTTCAATTTTTGTATCAAACGATTCAAAATGACTTGATGGTAAATTGGATTTTCGGGTAAAAAAAAGAACCTCTACTTTGGTAAAATAAAAACTAACTTCATATTCACTGCAATAATATTTAGAATTTTTGTTCTCTATTTCATATAGATTATTATACTAACCATATAAATTGATTAAACAAATACTATAATTATTATCATATATTGATCAATTGTCACCCAAAACATACAATGGATTACTTGCATAATATTGAAGCAAACAGATGGATTATGAAGAATTTACTATCAGATCAACATCTAATAATAATAATAATAATAATTATAGTTTAATTGCATACATCGTTAATTAGGCAATTATTTATCTGAATCTTTTGAGTCGTTTGTCTCTTTTGTAAATTTTGTTTACTATGCCAAGTTTTTTTTCATTTTGTTGTTTATTTATGGTATAAGTTAAACATAAGCTATTTTATAGTTTGGAGTAAAAATTTGGAAATTATTTAATTATGAGAAATTCTATTGTATGGGTTATTCAAATTAAGTGCTGCCCATAAATGACAAATTTAGTGAAATTAGACGTTTTTAATAAAGTTTCTAGATTTAGATTATCATTTATGTTCGAGCAAAAAACAAAATAATTTATTGATGCAAATACAATATGTACGTAGCCATAACAATTTTGGGAAGGTTATAGTGGATAACATTGATCTTTATAATTAATTTAGTTTCTCCATTCCTATTTTTTTTATCATTATCGTATTATATAATGAACTTTACAAATTTAAGGCTATCCAATTAAATTTTTATACAGGACTAAGATTTTATCTATAAGCTGCATTTTTCGTTCTAAAATAAAAAAATATGTAGCATATATCTACCAGAGCCATTATATTATGATAAGAAAGAAAACTTTGCAAAAAACATTGTATGTATATAAATAATTTATGTATCTTACGACTTAAAAGATTTTTTAATATATAAATTTTTGCAAATATTTGAAAATTATATACTGTGCAAACTTCTGAAGTAACTTTCATTCCTTAAGGGATAATAGACTGGAACTTAGTAACAAACTTCACTGTTTGTTCTTGCAATGTAATTTTTTTTGTGTAATTTTTTTTAGCGGAAATTTAATTTTTATTGAGATTTCGAATTAGTTTGAAGCATAATAAAAGGCATTTTTTATGATAACTATCTTCTATATTGAAGAACTATTATATATAAACGTGAATTATTCTAAGCAATATATATTTCCTGTATAATGTGTAGACATTTTTTTCGTTATTTAAAAATTTCTATTACAAGATGCCAGAAACAATTTAATTAATATTTTTTAATTATTTCAATTCTATATTTATCAAAGATAATAAGAATAACAATTATAGGTTATATCATATAATAAAAATTACATAAATTTCTGAAAAAATGAGTTCCCAGACGTCTGATGTATATTTAAACGTCTTGGATAGAAGTTAGATATTTTAGTTTGATTATCTGGATATTTAATAAGATAAAATATCCAGATATATTCTGGATAATAAATATCGAGAATACATCTGGATATTTAATAAATTTAGCAAAATTATAAAAACGTGAATATTTTTTATGTTAACTAAAAAATAATTATAGTTAAAAACATAATTTACACATCGATATGATTAATTTGACTATGACCAAATAATATGATAATTTTTTATGATTTTACATTTTTGTCTATTTCACTATGTTACACAAAACCTATGATTTCCCTAATATTAATTTATGCACTAAAATAAATTTATTAATTTGAAAGTGCATTAGTGTTTATAGAAGCATGTATAATTCTTTTGAACGTGATGACGTGTTTATACGTCTGCATAATTTTATGTG